CTTCCCTCTTATTCTGCTCAGAAAGTCTGTCTTGTAGAGATGAGAATGAATTGTTGCTTAGCTTTGCTGAGGGAAGAAACACTGACCCCGCTGTCTTCCCCATGTCTCAGACTGTGTTGTGCTTTCTATATGCACACGGCTAAACTCTACCAGAACAACAGCACGCAGAACGTTTTCTAAAGAAAAGGACCACACAGATAAGGCTGTAAAATTGCCAGAAACTCAGTACAGGTTTTATGACATGTACAGTGATCAAAAGGGCTTAACCAAGATGGTTTTTAATCATATTTGGGCATTGGAGAGTTCTCGAGTTTAAAGAAATGGTTCTGTGTCTTGTTTAGTTTTGGCAAAACTCTCTTTTCTTCAATAACCTCAGACAAACAAAGGCAACATAGTGAAGCCATGATCAGTTTTGCTTCTGTGTTCAAACAAAATATACCACCTTGTGGAGGTCTTTTTCTTACAATCAGATCTGTGTATTTTTAAAAATATTTTGAATTGGACATGCTCATTTGAACATTTATCCCTTTGAAACTAAGCCACTTTAAATTGTGCTGGAAATTGTACAAATGAACTGTCCTTAAAAAAAGGTTCTAGCTGTGTCTGTTATTGTTTTATAAAGCTCAATGTCAAAATATTTAACATCATTTTTAAAGAATTTTCATGCAGAAGTACTAGCTATAATGTCAAGCAAAACTCTAGCCTAGAGAAATATGGGAAATCAGCTACCTTTGCAACTCAAGGGCCAAAACATTTAATACACTGTTTCCTGTGTCTTCTTCCCCACTCCGTCACCTCCTTTTCTCTCTATTTATCTCCCTTTTTCTCTCAGTCCTTCCCTGGTCCTTCCTCCCCTCTTCTTTCTTGTTCTCCTAAAGGTCAGTTAGCAAACTTTGGAATCTGCCTAATTCCCTAGTATGATGGATATGGGATGCCTTGGTTATGAAAAGGTAGCTTTCCTTTGCTTACCTGTAGAGTCACAGGTATCTAAGAACAATCTCTTCCTTAGTGAGAATATGTCAAACTTTAAAGGAAAAAAGAAAAAGGGAAAAAAAACAAATTTTATTGGTTTATTGAGTGCCATTTCTTCTTTTTGTGGAAGAAATTAAATAAGACTCCAAAATGTATATCTGATCAAGCAATGTCTCCACTTAACTTGTAAATGAATACCCTTTTCACCTTCCATGCTGTGTTGATTAGGTTTCTATCACTGTGACAGGATACTCAGCATCATCAATTTAGAAGGAGAAATGGTTAATTTGATCTTATAGTTTCAGTTTTGGCCATGGTTGTGTAGCCCTATTGCTTTGGATCAGTGGCTGCAGAGCACATCATGGCAGGGACCTGTGGCAGAAGAAGCAGAGAGAGACAGAAGGTAACTGGTTCCAGCATCCACTTGGAGGCATTTGCTTTCAATGACAACGTTCCACCCCTAAGGTTTCCCTTCCTTCCAATTTCACTTCCCTGGGCATGCTTTCCACACAGGGGTCTTGGAGACATCCAGATGCAAATCATATCCCATCCCTTTGGGGACCTCTGAGCTGCAGCTTAACCAAGTAAAACCATGTGTATTCTTTCAAACATGCCATTGTGTTTGCTTTTTAATTATTATTTTTGAAGAAATTACTCAGCTCGGTAAGTACTACAGTAGAATTGAGACCGAATGGATTAGTGTGTAAGAAGGCTTTTGGGTGTAGAAAGGGAGGTAAGTTTTGGCTCAGATGACCAAAGGCACATGATGTTGAGAATGTCACTGACACTGTCCCAGAACTATAGGTAGCTGAGAGTGACTGGTGTGCAGGTATGACAGCACCAGTCAAAGTTTCTTGAATGTTATGATGAGAATTTTGGGTTTTCCTGCAAGAGAGTGAAGGCTAAGGAAGTGTTTTAAATCAAAAGAAGGTTGCATTTTTTAAAAAGGTAACTTTGATAAAAAAAAAAAACTATATATAGGATAGATTGATAGGCAGTAAGCCTGCAGCCCAGAACTTGATTCTGATTTGTTCTTCACTGGTGCAGATGATGACTGGTGCAGAAAAGGACTTGAACCCAGATAGTAAGTAGTATTAGATTTAAGTGAAGAAAACATGATATTAGGAAAATTCTCTAAGAGGGTAAATAAAAGAAAGTAGTAGCAACTGAGCCTCCAAGAGAAGACTCACCAGGTACACTCTGAAATGTTTCTCTCTGGACTCAACACTAGATGTGAATCCCCTTCCTAGAAGTAGGGAAGTAAGGAAGGAGATGTTGTCAGCACAGGGCTGTCTGGATGCAAGCCTCGCTGCTAAAGAAGAGACACTCCTCATCTTCCACGGGCCGCATGGGGGTTAATATGGTCTCCTAAACCAAGCACAACCTCTTTGAGGTCAAATACTATGTCGTGGTTTCCTGGATGACCGCTTGGTTTTCAAAGCTCTAAAATTTTACAAGTTTCTAATCCTCCACAGTGTCTATAATTATACTGGGACTCAGGCAGTAGCATTCAATTAAATGGTTGTTGAACTGAATACTGTGGATGGGTGACTCACACCACTGAACTGGATTATTCAAAATGTCAGTGCCTCAATTTCCTCCTCATCAACAGCAATTACTATTCGGGTTCTTTTAATAGTAAATTGAATATGGAAACATTGTCCTTGCTGTCAAGAAACATTCCCATTCATCTTCCTAATGAAAAGGCCAGTCTTCTTTCCTTCCTAGAAACATTATAAGGAGTCGCTCACAGAGAAGGGCTGGTGCACACATAGGTGCTATGGGCAGCCAATGCCTTGACTCTCCATATATTATGCGCTCCTGGTAGGTGTGACCACGAGCCAGCTAACCACATGAGCTGATTTTGGGTCTGGCAACAGAGATGGAAAGCTCACTGCATCAGACTCCTTGGTGAGTGCCTGCACGCTTTCTGGTTTCAGCCTGGAAATGTCCTGTGGTGTGTCTGGCCTGGCCAAACCCAGGAAGTACTGAACTTATTAAAATTGAAAAATAAACCAAAGTTGTTTGGAATGTTCTGGAATATTCACGTTGTGTCTGAGGGTGAAGGCTTGGATTCATTTCTGATTTGATGTGAACATCATACATAGGGAAACACACACAGCCCAGGGCAATTTCATGGAGGGGCTACACTGTTGCGTTAGGTCTTTAGGAGAGTCTTTCAAAGCCACCCCTGTGGGGAACACACAGCTTTTGTGAAGCTTTTCCTCTTCTTTCAGTCTTTGTTAGGTTGCCATAGGAATTTGTGTTTGTGAACAAAATGTTAAGCAGTTTGAAAAGAACATTCTGAAGTGGAGTTGGGGGGATGTTATCTTGGGTTCCACCAGCCCTTTGAGACTGGCTTGATTCTGTCTGTCTCTGTATTGGGATAGTGTGGCCTATGATGGACCCTGGAGAAGTCCTCACTCCAATCGGTTGTTTATAAAGATATGTACCATCACTGGGTAATCCATAAGCATCTGAGAATGCTAAGCAAAAGTTGGCTAAATCAAGTTGATGATCAGAGTGAATCTAATAGTCATGACTGAAGCCTACGGAACAGCCCACAAGAGCATAATTGCCTGCAAATTAAATTCAGATCATAGAGAAGAATCACAGCATTATCTAGAACTGGAAGTAACTGAGCAGCTATATAGCTGCACCCCACCATTTGCTGTAGGCAGGAAGTAATGCAAAGAGATTTTTACCCCAAAAGCAGCAGGGAATGACATGGTCAGAGTAAGCAGCCTAAGTCAACCTCCTCACTCCCTCTGAGTGCTAAAACACACATAAACACGTACATGCACAAGTTCTAAGCAAGATTTCTAAAAAATAAATTTAGTATTCATTAGAGATTGACAGAAATATGTTCTTTAATATATAAAAGAACATTGAAATGAATGGTTTTTTTACCTAACCCTGACATATTCACTCATCCATTTTGGTTGCTGAGAGGAAGAAAGAGAAATTAATTTAGCTAGTGCATAGATGCAATCTAAGGAGGAAAAAAAGTGAACACGTTTTTGTCTTCATTTGAAGTAGTTAAAACATATTAGTTGACCAGAGATGGTCCTAAGTAAGGTCAAGCAGTAAGAAATGAGTTTACTTTCTAAGAAATAACTCAACTGAGGCAGAACCAATAAGACAGCATCCAAAAATTGGGAAGAAACAGCTTCCCAAACACATCCAGCCATTTTGGCTTTTCAAAGATCTCATTTTCCAGCCAAAATGATCCATATATTTCACTAATTCTCTAAGTACTTTATTCTTACAACAAGATAAAGTAACAATTAGATGCCTCTGTTTTCCATCCTACAGAATGACTCTTTCATCTTGGGAACACGAGACCCTCTCATATGATAAATGTCTCAGAAAGAATCTTGCTGGATTTAACCAAACTTATGTCACATTCCAAACTCAAAGAATTAGTTTTAAATGTCAATGATCACTCAGTTGATTAGGAGCCTCTACCTTAGAAAACCATTAAATGACAATATAAATCTTTGGGTTCTATGGAACCACATGTATTAACCAATGGCTTATTACATGTAGAACTGGGCAAAGCCAATCATTACATTAGGTTCAGTTTCCTACTGAAGGAATAAAGATAATTTGTGCCTCATATGTCACAAAGTGTACCTGCGTGGATTAGAAACATTCATATATATTCCCACTTTACAACTTTTAAAAAAATTCTCATTTGTATAAGTCTTCATGTGACTTGCTTGTCTTTGAAATACTCTAAGGTGAAAGGCCAAAAGTGAAATGAAAATTTATATTACATATTTTATCCATTTAATGCTGATCTATTATCCTTTATGTTAATATTATTTGATTTAAAATAATATTAAGTCATTTTAGTAAGATGAGTTGAAATCTACTGGCCATATTTCACAGCTTTCATCAAAAAGTTGCCAAATGGGAATTTATTCTTTTCAATAGGTAATTGCCAAATCAGAATTACAAAATCACAGATGAAGATTTCACTGTATTTCTTCTCCTGTGTAGAGCTGTAAGACATGATACAGAGATATCTTTGTTTTGTTTTTGTTTATTTTTTAATTTTATTTAAGGAGAAAAAAGAAAAAAAACAGAAAAAGGGTACTAATTATACAGAATTTCAGAAAAAATAAACAGTAGGAAATCACTAGTTAATAGATTACATATTGTTATCTTGGAAATAGTTGTTCAAGTTACAAAATTAAAGCATATAGAATGGACATTCAAACAGTGAGACTGCAAACAGTTCTGTTCAATGATCCAGTAAAACTCGGTAATATGATTACCTGTCTTATACACTTAAATATACATGCAGTTATGTCCTTTAGAGCACTTTCTTTTCCTCTCTTTTGTACAATGACAATTACACATTTTGGGTTTTATTACTCCAACTGTTCTTATTACTTTTTTTTGAAGAGAGTAAAACCAAATGTGACATACCAGGACAGAGTCAGTCAAATCAAAAGGATGGACATAATACATAATGTAAAAACAAAATACAAGGTGATCAACATTGGTTACCATAATGCCTCTTGCTATCTTAAAAAGAGTTGCCTATATCATTCGTTATAATAAAATTGAACAAAACAGTAAAGAACAAAACCAATAAAACCAAAACATTGGAGACATTATAGGACTTCAAAAGAAGATAATAGTCAAACCAGAATGGGCGTCATAATGAATCTTATTGTCTTCATAGTTGTTGCCTATACTTTCAAACTTGGTACTATCAAGCAAAACAGAATAGAGAAAAATCAGTCAAAACAAGATGGTGAGAGCAATACAGGGTTTCAAATCAAGTTAATAGGAAATCAAAGTGGGTTACTATAATATATCCTGCAATTTTTTTATTTATTTTTCCCTTAATTAAAAGGATAAAAATGAAAAAGTAGATAATAAAAAGGCGATTGAGATAAAAGAGGGCATAACAACAAAACAGCGCAGATCAAAACATAGCCAATTGAAGCAAAATAGTGTTTCACCACAAGATAATCCTGACATAAAAGTAGTTACTATAGTGTCTCTTTCCTTGAAATTTTTGGGTATACCTTCGTATACTGTAGCATCAAACATATCCAGACAATGTAAAACCGTAAAAGAGAATGACAGTATTACAGGGTATTTAGAATCAACTATCTCTTTAAATTTATGAATCTCCAAATAATGATTTACAACTTTACTTACAGTGTCTAATATTTCAGAATTGCAAAGGTCTTCACTTGTGGTTGCCTCTCCACATGTGGAGTTCATGTCTCATTCCAGCCTCTGCTGAGACTTCGTGGAACAGCTTGCTCTTCTAGCTTTCAGCCATGTCCATATGCTGAGGAATAATGGACCCAAACTTCATAAGCTAAAAATCACAGCAAGTAATTTGATCCCATTAGTCCTTTATAAATTTTGTATTTACTTTTTTCTGAATATCTTCAATTTCCCTGGAACTGTCAGAATGTATGGAGTTTGAAAAGGAATTTAATAAAATAGAAATCATCATATTATGGTTCAGTGAAAAGAATATAGTAAAGGAAAAGGAAACTGAACTTCCCGTCTCAACTGCGCTCTGAACTTGCTGTTTTTCTCTGAACAAACCAACTGTTCTCATTGTAGCTCAGCTTCTCTCAATGTAAAATATGTCATTGTAATGGATTTCTCCCTTATGACTCAGTGATGGCCTGAGACTAGGTAAGTAGGTATCTTAAAATCCAAGATGGTACCTTTCCACACACCGTAACTTGAATTCTTTTCTCTGTAAGTTAATGAATGTTGAATTAGGTAGACAAATACACAAGCAGACAGACAAGAGAGTACTTCAAGAGATTCCAAGACATACATAAACACACACACAGACACACACACATACAAACACACACACACACACATATACACACACATAGATGAGAAAAATATCTCTATATGTATGTATGGGAAACTACAAATGGTACTTTATGTCTATATAAGCATTACTTTCAAAATTATACACAGGTTCATGTCTAACAGTCAAGCAGCAATTTTTTGGTGGTAAATTTGAGGTTACAGGAATATTCTTATGAATGCAGGTGTAAATATATTAAGAAACCACGGGAATAAAGTTTTTAAATCCTAGGCATATGTAGAGAAGTTAGTGTCCAGAAAAAGAAAAACAGATATATTCTGCTCCCTATCTACAAATGAGAAGGGTTGTCAATTTCCACCACAATTGAAATAATATATTTTTTGGAAGTCACCCTCTACTTTAGGAATTTTATGGTTAGTAAATTTTGGTTGGCGTAATATGCAAATAACAGCTTTTAAAGGAAGGAATGGTTTGGGTGATTAGTATATAAATGGGAGAGAATACTGGGACACAGTCTGGAAGAGCAGAAAAGTTTCAGATACAATTCTTTGAGACAAGTCTCCTTTGCTTCTAAAGCTTAGGACCCTTATTAGGGCACACTTCATCATGCTGTAATCTTCATTTGCTTTCCATCATCAACTTTGTAAACTTGTGTTTCCTACAATACTCCATGGATTTCATTCCTGTGAACCTTTGTACTCTGCTTTCTTTCAGACTTGAATGGCTCCCTCCCAAGTCTCTACACATTTTCACAATCCGATAGGATTAAGACCTAGCATCATCTCATTTCTTGTTCTCATTTCTTTATTCATTCTGCATCCATTATTTCAAGCATCCGTTATTTCCAGACAAGAAAGAGGAGAGGTGAATTAGATAGATCCTCTGCCCCAAAGAATATTAGCAAATAGAAGAGATATTTAATACATTTAATGAAGTGCTATGGGAATTGAACTTAGACTAAATTGTAGAAGAAAAATATACAAAAGATAGACACATTAAAGGCAAGAGTTAAACTTGTCCTTCAGTTACTGAGCACAATAACTCAAAGATTTGCATAGCACTGATTAGTCACTCCTACTTTGTTCCCACTTAATTAGGCATTTTGTGTCCTGTTTCTCTCAGAAAACAATAGAAATTCACAGGCGGGTCAGTGAGTGCTTGTACAGTAAGTCCTTTTATGTATTATGTCACATCTACTGCAAATACACTAGCCCACATTCTGCCTTAAAATGTTGGTTATTCAATTGAGAGGCTGAGGCAGGACGATCATAAAAGTTAGAGACCAGCTTGGGCTACAAGTGAGCTCAAGGCCAACCTGAACTGCAGGGCAAGACTCTGTCTCTAAAAGACAAAAAAAAAAAAAAAAGTCAATTATAATTTTAAGGGTTCTCACTGATTTAGATGGTGCTCACACTGGTCTTCCATCTCTACCAAAAAGGAAAAAGCTTGTGTCTTAGGTCTGCCTTGTTGTAGATTCAGATTACTTGGGTCTAAGAACATTCAATTTTCTGATGGTAAGTGTGTGTTATGTGAATACTGTATTTTATTTTTCTTATTTTGCAGATTATCCAGGATTTTTTTTCAGTGGTAAGGTGGGAGCATTGTGCACTGGAGGCATTTTATATCTTATAAATGAACATAAGTTCTTCCTCCCTTTTTTTTGAAAGGGTATCATCAGTTCAGGCTGGCTTTGAACTCAGGCTGGCTTTGTGCAGGTCAGCCTCTAATTTATGGCAATCCTTAGCCTCAGCCTACTAAGGATTAGGATTATAAGCAGCCCACCATACATGGCAAGTCTAGTCCTTCTTAAATTAATTTTGGTAATTTATGCCTTTCAAGGAGTTTATCCATTTAGAGTAAGTTTCCAAATTTATTGAAATAAAGTTCTTCATAGTTATATTTAAAACACTTTTCTGAAAGATAATGTGTAATGTTCTTTATCTATTTTTTATATTGACAATTTCTTTTCCATTTTCTTGATCAACCTATTTATGTATTTACCAACTTAGTAGATATTATAAAATTTCCTTTATTTTTATTGTTTTCTCTATTATATACATTTTTGTTTATTTCTAAAGTTATCTGAACTGTTGTCAGGCTGCTTGGGGGTTCCAGGGGAGATTTTCAGGGGTGAGGCCTCAGGATAAAGAGCACATTTGTACAAGACAGCAACAACAACACCAGGCAACATCGAGCGGAGCAGAATACAAGAGCACAGCAGCACAAGAGCAGCCCATGTCTTTATCATGTGATTCTTACATAGATTGTCATCACATATTTACCTTCTTATATGGTGCTGTACCCAGCACATGCTTATCTGTCTGCTGTTAAGTCATGGTTACGTAGCTGTATCCCACTGCACGCTTGTGCTAGACAGGGGGTCCACATTCTCAGCTGTCCTTAGGCGCTCCAGAGCTTTAAAGCAGCCTGAGTGGTTCTCCAGAACACGTACTTCCGTCCACTTTACATTTAAATTTGCTCTTTATCTTGCTGCTTATACCAATTTTATAGACCTTTCTTTTCCCCTGTTATGATATTTAAACTATAAATGTCCCTCTTGTTACAGTTGAAACATCACACAGATTTTGGTTTGTAACATTTCATTTCCAATCAATACAAATATTTTCTAATTTTCCTTATACCTTTTTTTTGGACCAGGAATACTTACTAGATAAGCATTTTTAAATTTTAAAATATCTTTAGTTATTGTACACATTATACTGTTTTTATTTCTAATGTAATTCCGTACATATAAGAAAACAAACTCAAATTTTTATCCTTTTAATGTGCTGAGATTTGTTTTATAGCACTTTAGAAGACTGTATATTTTACAGTTGTTAAATGTAGTGCTCCAGAAATATCAATGGAGTAAAGATGATTGGCAATGTTTTTCAATTCTATCATCATGATTTTCTGCCCCATAGCTAAGTCTAACATTTCCTAAGGGAAGAATGTTTAAGTCTGCACCGTTACTGTGGATAACTGTGCATTTGTCTGTTTCTCCTTTCTGGTTGTGTAATTGTTTCATCTATTTCAAAGCTTAATAGTGGAACATAATGCAGTTCATCTTGTTATTGCTTTTGAAATGACCTTTTCATCATTTCAAATGTCCCTCTCTGTTATATTATTACCAGTTCTGAATATTATTTTTCTGGTTTAAACATGATCATTCTAGCTATTATATAATTACTGTTATATATTTTTCCATTTCATTTTTAAGCTATTACATCTTTCTATCTAAAGTGGGTTTCTTTTAGACAATGTATGATTGGATCTTGCATTTTATTCAATCTCACTATGTCTGACCTCCAAATAGAGGGTTTTAAAAAAATCAGTTTCTAAGAGTTACAATTTATCATCTTTCTAGTCAATATCAAGTTATATGCTTTGTTTCTTTTCTTTCTTTTTAAAAATTTATTAAATAAATTTTATATGTTCTCTTCACATACTATTTACACGTTTGTTTTATTGTTAATTGGTTCAGGGCCCACAAAATTCACTTTATCAATTTATATTTTTCCACATCATCTATTATGTGATAACCTTACAACAATGTGTATCTATTTAGTTTCTTTCCATCCTGCATGGGATGGGTCATACAATTTACTTTTATCTGTAAATGTCATAACTCATCATTAATATTTTGTTTCAAGGAGTAAATTTTATTTCAGAGTTTTCAGAAAACAATTATTCTCCTATTTAATTTTTCCTCTGTTCTTTTATTGTCTAGATGTGTTTAGTTGATGCCATTTTGCTTCTGCCTGAATCACTGTATCTCAGAATTTCTTGTACTACGAATGACACTGTGATCCTTTTCTATAATCTGAAAAAGTGTTCATTTTATTTCTAATTTTCAAACTATACTGTTACCAGAGGTAGAATTCTAGAATATCTTTAATTTTCATCATTTTAAAAATTTCATTCTATTGCCTCTGTCTTAGTTTCAAACAAAAAATATGCTATAATTTTGTTTATCTGTTATTTTTAATTCTTTCTTAAGCTTTTAATTTCATCCTTAGTTTACAAAATTCCTTGTTTGCAGATTGAAGCATGCTTTCATCCCTAAAGACATATTTGTAACTTGCGATATTATATTTTTCATCACTAGAAGTTTCATTTGAAATTTTTGCATCTTCCACTTTCCTATTCATTATGTTCATGCTTTCACTTAATTTTTGAGTACATTTTAATAAATACTTAGATAATTGAAAGTTCTCTGCTGCTAATTCCTTCATACTTATCTTTTGTAGGTAAGTTTCTACTGACTGGTCACTTTCTATTTTCCTCTTGTGCATGTGCCAATCTTTGTATGTGTGGCAGTTTTTATCAGATTATTTATTTCATGATATCATACATATGTTTGTAACATATCTATATTTCTAATTTATTGGTATATATTTATTGGTATACACATAAACACAGGTGGTGCTTGTACATGGTCAATAAGTGCTCTGCCATATTTGCATCATGGCATATTGTATCTTGTTATTTTTACTTC